GGCTGAATGTTCAACAGGCTGTTCGGCTGGCTGTATTTGAGTGTCAACTTGCATCTCTTTCCTCCTAACCTCTTCATTCCTTACTAGATAATAGACATGRTGTAAATCTGGCATTTCATCCCTTCCCAAAATTTGAGACCTTATGCTCTCATACATTGGGTCTAAACCAGCCAAGAACTTAAAGGCTCTATCCTCTTCAATTTGTTTATCATGCCTCCCCTTGTCTTTTGCATTCTCCCAATCAAGAATAAGATGATGATCAAGTTCTTCCCATAGTCCTTCTAGGGTTGCAAAATACGTTGCAACTGTCATATCTCCTTGTCTCAATGCAGCAATGTCTTGGTTCAGCCTATAAATTCTGGCATTGTTCTTTCTTTGTCCATAAGTTTTAGAGACTTTCTCCCAAATCTTAGCAGCAGTAGGAAAGTGTTGAACAGTCCTGGCCACTCTTGAAGTCATCGAAGGAAGCAGCCAGGACATAACAGTAGCATTTTCCTTACGCCATACTGCATACTCCGCACTACCCACTACAGATTCCTTCTTCTGTCCATCTAGATAACCCGTAAGTTCCCGGGAAGTAATAAAGAGCATGGATGAAACAGACCATTCTCTGAAATTATATTCGTCCAACAGTACACTGGTGATCTGCAAGCTGTGCAGATTTGGATTTTCCAGATTAGGAGACTTCCCACCAGTTCTATTATCCCTAGAAGTCACTTCTCCCGATATTGAAGACATTTCCTTCCTCTTACAGTGATCACAATTGAAAAAAAAAACTCAGTACAAAGAACACTATTTCAGACTTACCGAAGCTGTTGCAGGTCTGAGAACCCCTTGTAACAGGTCTGAAACTAAGAACAATCCACCTCTGTACTGTGCTGAACTCTTTTGGACTAGACTGGGCTTTGACTTCTGCTGTAGTAGACTGTGATCACCCGTACAATCTGTACTAGGACTGTCGAAGTCAGTCCTTCCACCTAGATATGTTCCACACAGATCTCTCTTAGCAGCCGAATTAGTAGGGCATCGATTTCTAGAACAAACTCCCCTTGGGCCCTACAACCAAGGGAAACCCTAGATACAGACCTTGCTGTGTTCTATGGTCAGCCCTAGGGTTTCTTCACAGCGGCCAAGATAGGGAAAAAAAGGAATAGAGAAGAGCAGAAAAAGTGGCGGCTGTAACCAGACAAACGGATTAGTGCTCTGATACCATGTTTGCTGGAATATAGCAGCCGAAGAAGAAGAAGAAGAAGAAGAAGATTTGAGAAAGGCAGCTATTTCTCTTCAGCCGGCCCTACACTCTTATATAGATGATTATAAAATAATGTTACATGAATGGACCGGAATGCCCCTGATTAGTGTTGGGACACCTAGACAAATAAAACAAATGAAACATTAAACAAGTTTAGGCCCAATAACTAAGAACTTAAGACACAAATATGACTAACATAAACACTAAAAACAGCCGAACCAACAACAACATCTACTACTACTCCCACTTCGGCTTTTGCTTACTTAGGTACTCGAGCTACTACATATCATGCTTCAGCCCCAAGTAACACTAGCCATTTTTGGATTGTTGATTCAGGTGCTTCTGACCATATGACTAGTTTATCCTCCATTTTACTTCCTACTCCTTATCTTCTAGTAGAGAGAATTTCTATTGCAGATGGCTCCCTTTTACCTATTTCAGGCAAGGGAGATATCAGAGTGTCTGATACCATCTCATTATCCTCTGTCTTACATGTCCCTAAAGCACAAATCTGATTTCAGTTAGTAGCATTGCTAAGAATCAAAATTGCTCAGTAACCTTTTTTCCTGATCATTGTGTCTTTCAGGATCTGGTGACAAGGAGGATGATTGGGATTGGCTGTGAGATGAATGGAATTTACTTGTTTGAGCATCCACCTGGAAGGAGTAAAGATGTTGGGAGGTCTTTTGTGTCTCAGTCTGTGAGTCAGATTATGCTTTGGCACAATTGATTGGGTCATTGAAGAGTCTTTTTCCTACTTTGTTTGAGTCTGTTCAAGTGTCTAGCCTAAGGTGTGAGAGTTGTGAACTTGCAAATCATTGTAGATCAACCTATTCTTTGAGCAATAAAAGAAGCATTGTTCCCTTTGAAATTGTGCATACCGATGTTTGGAGGCCTTATCACATTAATGCAATGGGTGGTTACAGATATTTCCTTCTATTTGTTGATGACTACTCTCGTTTTTCTTGGGTTTACCTTATGTGGTCTCGAGATGAGGTTCCTATTCTAACCCGTGCATCCCACCAGATGGTTTTAACTCACTTTGGAGTAATGATCAAAATTTTCAGATTTGATAATGCCAAGGAGTATTTCACAATGCCCTTGGCCTCATATCTACTCGAGTATGGAGTTATCCATTAGAGTACCTGTCCTTGTACACCCTAGCAGAATGGAGTAGCTAAAAGAATAGACACATTATTGAAGTTGCTAGGAGCATCATCTAATGCTCCTATTCATTTTTGGGGGGATGCCATCCACATAGCTGTCTACCTTATCAGCAGAGTTCCTTCACAGGTTTTAGACATGAAAGCACCTTTTAACCTATTGTACCCTGATAAAGACTAGTTCACTATTCCCCTTAAGACCTTTGGGTGCATTTGCTTTGTTCAAATCCTTGGGCCTCACCGTTCTAAATTTGATCCTAAGGCAGCCAAGTGTATTTTTCTTGGGTATGCACAAAATCAAAAGGGGTATTGCTGTTATGATCCAGTCTCTGGGACTAGGTTTGTGTCTATGGATGTTACATTCTTTGAGGATGTCCCTTATTACTCCAGGACTTCACCCCAGGGGGAGAGTGGCGAGCAGGGTGTTTTTGCTCAAGAAGTTCCATTGCCTATTCCTATCAATGAAGGGGAGTGTAGTGAGGGGGGATGTCAAAAGTGTAAGGAGTTGAGAGTGTTTCACAGACGATGGTGGAAGCAGGTTGGTTCCTGTAACGAACAGTCCAGGCCATCTCTAGTCTCCTCTACGACACCAGATTCAGGTATTTCACCCTCTGTACCTACTACTTCTGTCGATGATATGCCTACTAGCACCACTGAACCTTAACCTCCCATAGATGATCTTGACCTTCCCTATTGCAATATGCAAAGGAAAGCGTCGCTGCACCTCAAATCTGCATCCGATCTTTCATGTTAGCTTATTGAAGCCATACCTGGCACCTACAGCTAAGGTGAGCCCAACACTACCTCAGCTCTCAGATGATGGGGATCTTCTGGTGGAGCCACAAAAGATAACAGACTTCTGCAGGGTTTAGACAGGCAAGAAAATCTGCAAACAGGAGTAAGTAATTTGGAGTAATGATTGGTGGAAGATGCTACCTGGGAGGACTATGCAAAGTGCTTTTTTTTTTATGGGAAACAGTAACTTTCATTAATAATAATGGAAAAAAATTACATCTGCCACCATCCAAGGGACGGATGGAGAACCCTTTTGATACAAACTGTCTCAAAAACAGGCCCAAAACAACTCTTGCCTATTGACTCCTTGCTTTGCTAAAGCATCAGCCATACCATTTGCTGATCTTCTTGCCCAAATAAATCTCACCCCAATCTCCCTTGCTAAGCTTGAGATTTCCCTTAGCTGATGTCTGAAAAGCCACGTGCCCAAGCTTCTAGATTGCAGCCAGCCTATTACTAGTTTAAAGTCTCCCTCCACTTCTATTTGTTTCAATTTGCAATGCTTTGCCAATCTGAGACCTTGGAGTAAAGCAAAAACTTCTGCTCTTAGGGAGTCTCCCACCCCTATAGGGCCTGAATACAGGGCCAGCACTCTACCTCCCTCATCTCTGAAAACACCCCTATTCCCAAGGGGCCTGGGTTGCCTATAGAGCTTCCATCAAAATTTAGTTTCACTTTAGAACAAGGTGGCGGGGTCCAACTTTCCTGAACTGATGGGGAGAAAGATGAGGAACCAGCTATGACACTCCATCCTCTAGTGAAGTCAGTGAAATAAAAGTCTTTAAAAAGATCCAAATCTTTCAGCCAATGTATGATCTTGGTAGTGATGCCCTCTGTAAGTGTTTCCTTGGTTCTTTCCTGTCCTTGGAAAGTCCTATTATTTCTCTCCTCCCACACTGACCATAATACAACTGCTCTTGTTGTTTTCCACATCACCCTGCCTCTCTTCTTTGGTAATTGGAAGAAGCTAGAGTCGAAAAGGTACCGCACAGATGAAGGAGGAGTCCACCTGCAACCAAAGAGAGAGGAGAACCAATCCCAAATACAAGAAGTAAATTGATAGGAAATAAATAGATGAGCCACTGACTCTCCATTCTGCAAGCAAAGGCAATAGCCACGAGGGGAAAGGCACCAACCTTTCCTTATTCTTTGAAGTACACCCAAAGTATTCATTTATCAAAAAAACAAAAATAGTACATCCAAAGTGGCTCCCTTGAACCAGCTCATTTTGTAAATCTAGTACAGCTATTTGAGTGGAGTTTATCAAACCGCCTTTGAGGGGCCATCTGTTGTTAGAAAGGGCCTTGTACTACTCCTTTTTATATTTCATTTATAAAATTCAGAAAAGTTCTTCATACAAAAAAAAAGCTCAGTTCACCACTTGTGAATACATTCTTTGCCTACAAAAATTGAATGCTTTAAATAAAAGGAAAATATCAACATTCTGTTTTTTAAGTAATTTAACAATCAACTATTATATAAAATTTTATATTTTCTATTAATGCTTCCTCTCTTTATATATGTATATATTGAACTTTGCTCCAACTATTCTTATTATCTGTTCTTCCCATGCTACTTGACTAATATATTCTGAAGTTTTCTGGTGTCTATCATCTATTCAGTTCTCTCCCTTCACTCAGGATTAATAACAGAAACCTTATTTATTTATTTTTGGAATCATCTCATGCAAGCATTTTGATATGGGAAGGATGCTAATGAATTTCTTTTAAATTGCCTTTGTGCAGATGAACTATGAAGATTTTTGCCATATTGCTTCTGTATGTATGGAGCAAATAGGTCCAAAGTGTCGACGGTTTTTCAGCCCTTCAAATTTTATGAAGTTTGAGAAAGATGAGTCTGGAAGAATTGCCATCCTGCCGTTTTACCTTTATGTGATGCGCACAGTAAGTTTTACTGTTGTATTTCTAAGAATTTCTTCTCTAGGATAATTTTCTTCCAAAATGAATAAATTGAAATGTCTAGGATTGCTTTGCTGCATATGCTCTCTCATGTATATCATATATTTTTTTGATAGATAACAAGACTAACTTTATCAATATAAACAGAATAATATATACAAAGATTAACCTCCCAAGGGGAGGTAGATAAACCTATGCCACCCAAAAGCATTTCATTTCTCCTTCCCCTCTTTGTATCTGTATTTCCTCTCTTCCAAGTGCATTATTGTATATCTGTTGTAGTGATTCCTGGGACCGATGCCTTGTGTAGCTCCTCCTGCTTTACCAAAAATAAAAAAAAAACCCTTATTTGACTAGTTTAGTAGCCAACCCATTTGCATCTCTCAGTACCCATTGCAATTTAATATCTATATTCCTTGTTAACCACTTGATCTGTTTTAGCACCTCTTTATGAGTCCAAGGCTCCAAGATGCTTTTCTCTCATCTTTTAGCCAACCAAAAACCACCTGGAACTCCCCTTCAATGATTACTTTCTTCAAGTTCATTTCTTTTGCTTTTTGTACTCCATATAAAACAGCCATTAGTTCATCCCTTGTAGAATCCCCCACCCCAACCGGACCTAAGAACAATGCTAAGATATGACCTTCCTTATCCCTAAAAACTTCTCCAACCCCGAAGGGCTTGGAATCATTTACTTTTTCCATGATACACTTCAATATGATTTGCATGTTTCTTTCTTTTCTATTGAATATTCTTGCATTCCTTTCTTCCCAAATTATCCTTGTTGTATCTCTGTTTTTTAATCTAATAATCGATTTTTGTGTTGCTGATAAACGATAGCATTGTTGCCTTTGTGCATCTCCACAAAATTCTCTCTCTTTTCCTTGGCCATCTGAATGTGCCAGCCTCAAACAAATTGGCTAGTCTATTAGGCAAAGTCCATTTGCACATAAATTGAGGAAAAAAACCAATCTCAAATGAAGGTGACAAAAGGACAGGAGATTAGCAGGTGGTAACTAGTCTCACCATTAGCTTTACAAAGAATGCTTAAGTTAATGAATAAACAGACATTCTTTCTTCTTTTTTCTAATACATCCAAAGTATTAATCTTCTCATGATAAACCTTCCAACAAAAGCCTAATTTTTTAAGGAGATAGGTTTGCACTAGACTTCCCTTATAGGAAAAAGGGAGGAGATGACTTATGAAGAAGTGAGAACCTGGTAAAAGAGGAGTCCCAATCCTAGCGTCAGGCATAGATGGATTTATTACCACTTTGTCAAGTGTTTACAATGGTTCAACAACACATGATCATTCAAAATCCCTTAAACCTCTTCTGAAACCTAGACCCCAAGCAATCCCATCAACCAAAGGAGACAAAGACTTTGAAATCAGCTCTTTCTTGAGACAGGAAATAGAGGACAAAATTAGAAAATGCTCTTTAAGAGATAGTTCACCCACCCAAAGGTCTTTCCAAAATAAAAAATTTCTTTCCAGAGCAAACAATCATACCTGACAAACTTGAGGAACAATGGAAGAATAGCATGTATAGCTTTCCATGGAGAACCAAGAGTAGCACAAGAAGATACACCAATAACCCAGCCATTCCCCATCATCATGAACACTTATCACTACCCTATGCCGAAGTTGATCCTTAATCCTACACATTATCTCCCATTTCACTAAGTGACCCTTTCACGACCTCCTACCCACACTCATGTATAATATTCTACTCTCTAATTCTATAAAAGGGAAATTCTATACAGTTGCAAGGCCAGCAATTCTTTATGGAGTAGAGTGTTGGGCACTCAAGAAACATGTCCAAAAAACTGAGTGTGGCAGAAATGCGCATGCTGAGATGGATAAGTAGAGAAGCTAGAAAGGATAGGGACACAAATGAAGTCATTTGAAGGAACCAAGGAGTGGCTCCATTAGGTAATAAAATGAAAGAAAGTAGACTTAGATGGTTCAGTCATGTGCATAGAAGATGAATATCACTTACTGCACCTGTAAGGAAAAGCTATCAGTTATATGTTGAAGGGTCTAGAAGGGCTTGGGGCAGACCAAAAAGGACATGAGCTGAAATAGTAAGAAATGATTTAAGTGCTCATAATTTAACAATGGATATGACATTAAACAGAACAGAATAGCATAACAGGATTCATATAGTCTACCCCATATAGTTGGGATAAGGATTAGATGGTGATGATGAATCAAAATCCTCTCTACTTTTGTTTTCCATGTTCAAATTGCGCCACCTGTTGGTTTCATTCTTACACTTGCACTCTTAGAGCACACTAACAGTTCGGAAAATTCTTACTGCATGCTTTTTGTCAATTTTCTTCATTGAAGATTGTATACATGCATTCGTGATGTGGCTTCTTGGCTTTTGCACAATTTATTAAAAAGAGATTGTGTGAAACCTAATAATGTATCATGTAAAGGTACTTTTGATTACCATAGGATGAATGGTAGGGGTGATCTTTACTATCTCAGCCAGGCCAGGCTGGGGCCAATACTTCTATGTGCATATGTGCATGCATGCCAAGTTTGGATCTATATTTCACGCCTGGGGTGCAGTCTTGGCCGGGCCTGTGCCTCGTGAAGCCCTGGCTCGACCCATGATCATCCCTAAATAGATATGGTTATTGCCAAAAGTTTGTTTACTTATGTATGTACATATATATTATTTATTAGTCATTAACAAAATATAATGTTTCCTGAAAAGAACTACACACCTTACCAAAAAAAAAAAAAAACGAAAACAAAAGAACTAGGCACTAGGATACAGGGTACTTGCTGTTTTACTCACAATAATCTATAGCTTTGTGAGTTGTCAAGAATACTGCCAAAATTTACAGAGCAAGTAATAAAAATGAGTACTAATAGTTATATCCATGCACTTTTTTCTTTGTTGGGGTTAGTGGTAAGGAAAATATTCAACACAAATTTTCAATCAATCACTCTTTACCATTTGAAAAGAAAAAAAGGAAAAATCAGCATGGAGGCACAAGTAAATCCTCTGATAATGAGCATAACAATAAAAACCACAAATCTGGTAAGAAAAATAGAATTGGGGAAAGATACATGAAAGGGGTAATTAGTCAAAAATTAAAAAAAAAAATGAAAAGGAAATCGAGGGAAAAATTACATCAAAAGCTACATTGGTAACAACTCAAATAAACTAAGCCTTGTCCCAACTATATGGGGCGGCTACATGAATCCTGTTCTGCCATTCCACTCTGTTCAGTGCCATATCCATTGTTAGATTGGGGTCCCTCAAATCATTTTGCAATACTTTAACCCATATCCTTTTTGTCCTGCTCTTATCTATTCTAGACCCTTCAACTTGGAAACGATCTTAGTTCTTAGGAACTGTCTGACAACAGCTGAAGTAGCTGAACTAAAAATCTTGTTGCTATGTCTTTTAGTGAATAAGTTTTTAAGGAGGTTTTGGGCTCCTTAATGGCAGAAGATGAAATTAGGTAGATTACTATACCCTTGAATATATTATTATTTAATAATATATATTTTATCCACCAAAAAGCAAAGCAACAAGTAGTTTTCCCACTTATTCGTCACCTCAGTCTACTTTCCCTTTTGTTATCACCTATTGGGGCTATTCTTATCAGTTCCTAAGAATATGTTTATGCTCCTATTCTTTCTAATTTTTCCACTCATCCATCTCAAAATCCCCATGTTTGGATTTCTTGCAAACATGAATACATTGTTTTCAAGGTGAGCAATCTGCCCAGGTTTCTTTGCCGCACAATATGATAATGATTGGAGGAATTCATATTTAAGTAGAAGAAGAGAGTTCTCCCTTTTATGATAATAGTAGAACTGTAGAACTCTTTAACATGGGGAAGGATGAGCAATGGGATTAATTAGTTGGTGTCTAGCATTGAGGCTGTTCAGGTTAACGGAACTGTCATACCAGATCAGAAAAGTCATTACCTAGGGGAACTGAATAGGGAAAGAGGGAGAGGTAAAGGTGCTTCTTCAAGAGGCAGAGGAAGAGATTATAAAAGGAGTAAAACCTATCCTCCTTTGTCTTTTCTCTTGTGTTGGATATTTGGGTGGTCTTAGGTGGCATTTAATAACACTTTGGACAATGGGTCTCTCTCTTGCTCTGAAAAGCCGAGAATAATATTTTTGTTATGGTTTCTAAAGATTCCAGCCATGCCCGATGGCCCAAGTTCCCAGGGTAGCAGCCACTTACACCCGAAGTTAGTCTCTAACTGGAGCAGTATTTTCGGCGTGAAACTTTCAATAGATAATTTATGCCAGTTGGGGAAATATGTTCCTCCTTAAAATGTTATACCAGAAAAAAAAAATACTAGAAGCTTTGATTCCAGCTCTCGTGCAGAATTGAACAGATTGACCCTTTATATTGACTTGGCACATTGTAGTCCTTTTTAAGATATCATACCAGGCATTCCAATTTGTGCTACTGATGCTGCTGCTCAAGTCAACCAATAATTCATAGAATATCTTAGTTTCTCTGAATTGATTCTGCTGCATATATTCAAATAGAAGTTCTAGTGATCTTTGTAAGAGTAAATTGCATCAGTGCTTACTGCTCCTTTCTGTGTTCAGGTTTCCCTCACTCAGGCAAGAATTGATATGAGCGAGCTTGATGAAGATTCTGATGGTTTCCTTCAATCTCATGTATGAATTCCTTATCTTTGTTGAGCCTATTCTCTATTAGAATTTCCTAATTTACTTGCTGCATATCTCTGTGATTTACTTTGTAACATCACCTTTTTGTATTACTGTTTTTTTTTCTTCTCTTCAGGAAATGGAGGCCTACATTAGAGGTCTTATTCCTAATCTGGCACAACTACGAGATATGCCTGCAGCTTTTATTCAAATGTACTGCCGCATAGCTGCACACAAATTTTTCTTTTTTTGTGATCCTCACAGGCGAGGTTTGTTTGTGCCTTTCAAGATTTAATTTTGATTATAACTAGGAGAAATATCTAATTTTGGTTAATAACAAAAAATCTAAATTCGATATAGACTTTGTTACTCTGATTATTTTTTAGTAAGATATTCAAAAAATGACAAAAAAAAGATTATTTTTTGCATTTCCTCCATTCTATCAAATTTGCATTCAAGCTTTCGATAACTTAAGCCCCAAAAATATTGAACTATGCTTAAAGTAGAGGCTGGTTTAACCGGGTGTGTGTGGGGTGCCTAACACCTTCCCACACCATACCTTGGTCCCCGGACCCTAAGAATCTCTATCCCATTGGGAACAACCGAACAAGTCACCAAGAAAACATTTCTTTTCTTGAAAAATCTTGGGTTTTTCTAAATTCTCATTTCCAAAAAATTTAGGTGGTGACTCCCACTTCATTCCAACTGTTCTCCCTCTGGGTTGGGCAGCCACAGTGGGGACATTACAACCAACCCCTTACACCCAAAACATGGGTCTAACAGTCCTTCAAAAAGCATACAAGGCTTATCATGAGGTTCATGACTCACACGATCACACCTTGTAATGCCTGATGCAGTGACCAAAACCCAGGTTACCAAGTTAGGGCATGGGACAGGAAGGCATAACCCTAGCATTAGGGTACTGCTTCTACCCTCTCTTCTCCCTCTCTCAGCTCCTCCCAAGTCTCAGACCTCCTGCAATAACTATGACTGCCTGATCCTCCAAAGAGGGTACGTACCTCTAGGGGGTTGGCCACTTCCCAGCTTCCCTCACCCATTTCCCTGACCTTTGGAGTAGACTGCCACTGCCAAACCCCACCATGTTTACACATAGTTGTCAAGGCATCAAGGCAAACTAGGCGAGCACCTAAGATGGATACTTTTAACCTGAAGCACAGGCTAATTCCTTTGTTTTCATAGTAATCAGAAATAATCTTTTACTAATAATTAGCAGTAATCTTCATGTAAGTAGAACTTTCATATCAAAACATAGAAAAATAACATATTCATGAGAAGAAGTGCAATCTTCATCAAGAAGAAGAAGAAAAGAAATACCTGTATCTTAGTCCTATTGGTTGCTCCTGTGTGTTGATCAGTTGAAGTCTTCAAGTTCTTCCTTGCTTATTAATTGAGATTTTCAAGTCTTCAAAAGGTAGCACCAACCAACCTTAACAAACAAGAAATTATAAAAAGAAGCTAGTATATGAAAATATTATAAACCCACAAAATAAATGATTTAATGTTACAATGCCTATTGTAATGTAAAAAAAAATCGATAAAAAATGTCTATTGTAGTATCATAAACTCATAACAGATGGTCTACTCATTGGGTAGCCCTATAAAAAAGTACTTTAATCACATTTCAAAAAATATATAAAAATATTATAAAGCACCTTGTCACCTTGACACGTATTTGTGGATGTTAGAAGTATAGGCTAGGCCTACTGCAATTTGGTTTGTACTATATTATCTTTTCATTTAGGATTTGTGGTTAGATAGGAGAATTTATGTCTTTGCTGTCTTATTACCTAAGAAGTGGTATTTCTGTAATAGCTCACTTTTATTAGATAATGACATATGAGATACCTTATCTGAGTGCTACTTAAGCAGTTCTCTTTTCTAAGATCTGAATACTGTTGTCTTCTCCCCTCTGTTTATTCCTAAATCAGAAATCTGCACAATTTACTTATATAAAAACATATGCTCCTATGTGCTTGTTTTTACACAACTTATTTTAGTTTCATGTTTTTCTTAGAAAAAGGCAACTCATGAGGCTTAAGCATAGAGCCTTGAGGCTTATGTCCATTGCATCTGAAGGTCCTTGCTTTGCTTCATGCCTCAACAATTTTAAATATTGGGGGTCCATCTATACACAAAATCTCTATGATCCAGAGTTCAGACCTTTAAAATCATTGAGAATGGGAGCCTAATTGATCAAAAGCCAAGTGTCAGCACAAAGTGATGCAGGAGCTGAAGAGTCAAAATTGGAATGTTATGATATTTTATGTATTTCTGTATTTTTGGACGGTAGGGGTATTTTTGTCATTTTGAAATTTCTGTGGGGTCCAATGATAGGGTTTAATTTGTCTAGGTATAGTTTGCTTATGTTTAAAATTTCAGAGTCATTGCATAAGTAGTTTGAGTCCTACTAGGATTATCAAGTCTAACAGTTTGACTCCTAAGACTATTATGAGTCTAACAGTTTGACTCCTAAGATTATTATGAGTTTAGAGTCTATAAATATGTATGGRCGTTTTACACAAAGGCAATGAAGTTTATTGAGTTTTCTTCAGCTTATGCTAGCTATGGTGAGTGATTCCCATGCCCTAGAGTGATTCTAGGAACCCTGTGAGTGATTCCAGGTATTTCCTCTATTCTTTCTCTCCCTATTTTCTCTCTTATTCCTTTAAGAAGCCATTATAGCCATTGACAGCCATAAAACTCTAATCAAGAAGACATTCAACATTCTCTAAGGACTAGAACTAAGCTGGTCCTACATTAGTTGGTGTCAGAGCTAATGGTTTATTCATTATGTTCTCACAAAGTGACCGATTCTATAGGTCTAGGGTATCTTCTAGACAACCTTACAAGTCTAGAATCAATGATGATTGGGTTTCTGAACCATATGAAGGGTCTTTGGTTGACTTATTTGAGAAGATGGTGGAAGAAAACAGGTCTAATAATGTTGGCTGCGGGAGTAAGGTTTTCAAATATGTTAGAAGAGAGGGAAATGCCAGATTCAAAGGAGATGATGATCTGCAAGCATTCTTTGATTGGGTTGCTAAACTAGAAGAATATTTTGATTGGCATGATATACTTGACAAACAAAGGATTAGATTTGCGTGTATGAAGCTGACAATTCATGCTAAAGTATGGTGGAGAACTCTTGAGCAACGACTAGAAAATAGAGGCGATGATCCAATTAGTATATGGGCAGAGATGAAGAGGTGTTTGCAAGAAAAGTACATCCCACTAGACTTCCATGATGATCTATATATGAGTTGACTAATTTCAAGCAAAAGAAGAAGCAGCAGATTACAACAAAGAACTTGAAGTCAATGGGAAGAAGGTACAAAGTTGAAAAGAAAGTAGATGATTCCTTGAATGTTGATGCCTATCCTATAGCTGAAGTTGAGGATAAAGCTAAAGAAGAAGAATATCAAGCTATTGAAATTGTATATATTAAAAATCAAGAGGGTGCAGGCCAAGAAAAAACAATAATTGTTGGAGTTTCCAACACCCATGATCAGCCTGAGGTTAATGATCAAGAAGAAATAGAAGAGGAGCAAGTTAAAGAAATTCAGGTGCAAGATACAAATGTGTTGACTATAGTAGATCCTAATAAGAAATTAAGTGACTTTACCTTTAAAGTTCAACTAGAACTAATTCAAGAATTACAACTTGACATAGCACAAGTTCTACCAACATCAACAATGGAAGGAGTCCTAGAGTTTGTTGAAGAACCAAGGATAGCAGAACACATAGAGATGGTGATTCCTAAGCTAGAGGTTGAAGGAAGGCTCCAAATGTTGCAGTTAAGAGTTTGGATAAGTGAGGTGAAGATTCATCACAATGGTTGGTTGATGAATTAAGTGTTCAAAAAACTAATGTTATCGATGATTTAACAAAGATTGTTAGGGAAGGCAATGTTTCAGAAATACATTTCTTTCAAGATCCTTTTCTAGTTCTGTGTGTGGCCTCTACTCTACAATCCAAGCATGTAGCTGTGGGAAGTCTTCCCTTTGTAATTGGGGCATATCAACTTTTCATCCTCAAGTTCTTCAAAACTCGAGGACAAATTTTTTTCAACTGGGGGAGAATGATGTAGGAGCTGAAGAGTCAAAATTGGATTTTTATGATATCTTATGTATTTCTGTATTTTTGGACAGTAGGGGTATTTTTGTCATTTTGCAATTTCTGTGGAGTCCAATGATAGGGTTTAATTTGTCTAGTTATAGTTTTCTTATGTTTAAAATTTCAGAGTCATTGCATAAGTAGGATTAGAGTTATTGAGTCTTCTTTGAATTGAAATAGGATATGACACCTTAGTTTGAGTCCTACTAGGATTATCATGTCTAACAGTTTGACTCCTAAGACTATTATGAGTCTAGCGGTTTGACTTCTAAGATTATTATGAGTTTAGAGTCTATAAATATGTATGGGCGTTTTACACAAAGGCAATGAAGTTTATTGAGTTTTCTTCAGCCTATGCTAGCTATGGTGAGTGATTCCCATGCCCTAGAGTGATTCTAGGCACCCTGTGAGTGATTCCAGGTATTTTCTCTCTCCTTTCTCTCCCTATTTTCTCTCTTATTCCTTTAAGAATCCATTACAGCCATTGACAACATAAAACTCTAATCAAGAAGACCATTCAACATTCTCTAAGGACTAGAACTGAGCTGGTCCTACATCACAAAGACACACGAGGCCTGTAAGCACAATCAAAAACTTTTGTTCCTTCAATACAGGCGATGTAGGACTAGCTCAGTTCTAGTCCTTAGAGAATGTTGAATGGTCTTCTTGGATCAGAATTTTATGGCTGTTGATGGCTGTAATGGCTTCTTGAAGGAATAAGAGAGAAAATAGGGAGAGAAAGAAGAGAGAAAATACCTGGAATCACTCACAGGGTTCCTAGAATCACTCTAGGGCATGGGAATCACTCACCATAGTTAGCATAAGCTGAAGAAACTCAATATAATTCATTGCCTTTGTGTAAAACGTCCATACATATTTATAGACTCTAAACTCATAATAATCCTAGGAGTCAAACTGTTAGACTCATAATAGTCTTAGGAGTCAAACTGTTAGACTCAATAATCCTAGTAGGACTCAAACTAAGCTTTCATATCCTATTTCAATTCAAAGAAGACTCAATAACTCTAATTCTACTTATGCAATGACTGAAAATTTAAACATAAACAGACTATAACTAGACAATTTAAACCCTATCATTGGACTCCACAGAAAATTGCAAAAGATGACAGAAATACCCTTGGTGTTCAATTCAGTCCAAATCCCAAGTACCTTCACTATGCCATATCAGGACCTGCTGTAAGGCCTTCATCTTTCTAGAATAAGTCTTCAAGGGTGCTGATCGATTCCTATCAACAGGCCATGGCAAAATAGCTTCTCTCATTGTGGAGAAGTGAGTCTGATCCAAAAAATCTGAAACAACAGGCAGTAAAAATGTTTTTGAAAAAGAATGTATTTGATGGTTTCTCTATTCAATTACTGGAATTAATAGACAAATGGGCAATTCTTATCAAAATAATTAATGGAAGCTCTTGTTTTCCTTAATTTTTAATGTCATCTGGCTAGTCTAAAATATTTTTTTCTGGGGCCATGATTCAATAAGGAGGATCTCATCTGATGATGGTAACTCTTTTGCAGTTTATTGATGTCAGATGGGACAAATGACATTACAAGGTGGGATATGGGTGTCATAGTCCTATCTTATGTCAAAAAGGCTCCTCTCGCATGATGCCATCAGTAAACTTTATTTCTGTTTTGGTAATTCAATGGTCTTTGATTTAGTTCTAACTTCTCTTCCTTCCTGACAGATAAAGCATGCATAAAGAAGGTACTGCTTAGTAACTGCCTCCAGGAACTCATGGAACTGCACCAGGTATTGTGCTGCCGATACATTCCTAAATTCTGAACTTATATCAGGACTCATCTCATCACAGTGATTTCTTGTATAGAAAATTCCCTTGATTATGTTCCAGACAGTGGTGAGTTATGATCCTATGTGCATAAGACATGTCAAGAAAAGCCTTTTCAACCAAGGTAAATAGAAAGGAGGAAAGAGGGTCTCCCCGTCTAATCCCTATATCTTGATGGACCTTCCTTGTTCCTTACCACCCAACTAACTACAACCTGTGAGTCTTCTTCAACTTATAATTTTCCAACACAATGATCTCTTGCTAATCTTAGCCCATGTAATAGCTCTGCTGGTGTCTTTCCACCCAATTGGACAACCTTACAAGATCTTCCCTCCGTTGCCTTTGAAGATACCTTCACTAATTTTAGCCATGTAATAGCTCTGCTGCTGTCTTCCCACTCAATTGGACCTAAGTAAACCTCACAAGATCTTTCCTCCATTGCCTCTGAAGACACCTTCCACACCCAGTGGGCCTGGATTATCAAAGTTTAATTTGATAGTTTCAGGAGGGAGAAGGATCCCTTGCTATATAGGAATTTTTTTATTGAAGATTCAATAATTACCCATTTTCTTACTTTATCATTGATAGTATATTGTTTGAAATCCTCCATTGTTTGAACCTAATGGAGTACAATTACAAATATTAAATGACAATACTATGCAGTTGTTTTTTTTTTATCAATAACAGAAACTTTTATTAATAAAGGAGAAGGAAGAAGATACAATAGGAGGGGGGGGGGGGTTAAAAACTCTTACCCCACCCTAAAAGAAAAACATCATATTACAACACAGCCCAAAAGAAACTAGCCCTTCCCACCCCTTGTTTAGCTAAACAGTCTGCAAAAGAATTGGCACTCCTCTTTGACAACTGAAACTGAATTTGCATGTCTTGAGTAAGCTGGTAGATTTTCTTTTTTTCATTCAATAATTTCCACATACTAACATCTTCCTTTTGCAGCCAGTTAATAGTAAATCTAGAGTCACCCTCCACCAGCAACTTCCTAATATTCAGCTGTTTGGCTCTTTTTATTCCTTCTAATACTGCTGAAATTTCAGCTCTTAGAGAATCCCCCCAACCTATAGGTCCTGAAAACATGGCCAAAACTCGACCTCCTTCGTCCCTGAATACTCCACCTATACCTGAAGGGCCTGGATTTCCTTCGTTGCTGCCATCAAAGTTCAATTTAGTGAACTCCAAAGTTGGAGGAGACCAAGTTGGAGCATGGGAATTAATCAACTGAGTGGACAAGGCAACTTCTTTCCAATTTCTAATGATATCTCCTGCTGAGAATCCTTCAAATAGCTTCATAGACTTGACTTAGTGAATCACCCTAACATAGATTAAGTCAATGATGGCTCCTTTGTTCTTTTCTTTTTCATGGAAAGTACATCGATTCCTTTCCTCCCATACTGTCCAGCATACAGCTGCTCTTACACATCTCCACAAGATTTTACCTCTCTTTTTAAACCCCTCACTAAAGTAGAAATAAACAAACTTTGCACACTTGGAGGGGTGGGTCACCTGTAACCAAAGAGAGAAAAACCAACACCAGATTTCTGAAACAAAAGGACAGGAGACTAATAAGTGATAACAGCTCTCACCATTCTTCTTACATAAGATGCACCAGTGCGGGGATAAACACTAATTTGGCCTTTTTTTTGAAGTATATCACAAGTGTTACACTTTCCTAGGATAGCTTCCCAGCAAAAAGCACCTACTCTAGGGGGAATTGGTCTACCCCAAACTTCCGGAGCCGGGAAAGGAGAAACAAGGGCCGATTGGGAATGGGTTAATTCCTTAAAAAAGGAAGAGCAAGAAAAGATACCCGAAGGAGTAGGAGCCCAAATCCCATAGTCCATTCTAGAAGGGTCAATAATCACCTCCTCCAGAATCTTAAGCAAATTAGAAATGGAATCCAATTCAGAGTCTCTAAGAGCCCTTCGAAAGCCTAGGTTCCAATCAGGGTTAGAATTAGAAAAGGTTAAGAAGGTAGCAACAGG